AATGAAAAATGGTTTTATTGGACGTCACTGCTACGAGCTCTGCTACCTATATGCTTATGGAAGATCTAACTATAGATGGATAAGTATGTTTATTCGTGTTTATTCGAGTGTTTATCTGACTACATCACATAAGAAGAAACATTTGTAGCAAGTTCTTAATTACTAAAACTAATAAAAAATCAGAAAACTAACTTAGCCATGAAATTGAATATGAAAAGAACACATGAATGAGAATTAACAGGCGTGTTGAAGAATTGGCACAAACAAAACATAAATTATTGCATGAGACTAGGTACTTATATTCCAGCTGAATGAATAAAAACAGAGAAATCAGGAATGGTAATTCAAATATTTCTCAATTGACTGAAAACAATGTGTGCTGTCTAGATATTTCTTGTTAATACATTATTATTTTTCAATTAATTACTCAAAAGTATTTATGTCAATTTCAATGAAACTTGGTGGATTTGTTAACAGTAACATGGAGCCTCTTTTGGTGTAATTTGATTGGAAATAATGAATCCAGTGGCGTCGTAGTGGGTTGCCTTATTAATATTTATGGTGTATCTAAAAGACGACGTACGTTAAAACACATGTTTATCTGAGCATTTCTTCCTGAAATATGTAAAAAAAAAACATTTCTGAATCTCTTCAAGTTATGTGAAATATTTCAGAATATATATGTCAATATACATACGTTTCACATTCAAAAGGAGGAAGGAAAGCTCAAAGTCATCTCCATAACTTTAATATTGATATACAGGGTGAGTCATGACTAACCAGCCATAGCCTAATGGCGGATAGCGGAGGTCAAGGTGAGTTGATATATATGTGAAAAAATATTTTTTGTCCATTCTTTACAGAATTACAGGGCATTATTTGAATTCTGGGCAAAACTTCAATGAACGATATTTCAGGAACACCTCGATGTTATCGGCTGAAATTCACTAGCAACTCACCTCTACTGACACTCCACAAGATGACGTACTATGATTGAAAAATTCCAGATCCGGACTTGGGCAACTCATTTTCTCTTTAGATGTCAAAATTTTGACCTTCTGGATCGGATTTTTCGGAAACTTTCATCAGAATCAGAAAGATCAGGAAAAATACACAAGTATGGCTTCTCAATTCGTACGGCACACTTCGATCGTTTTGGTAAAAAAATATCAAACAAAATACCGATGAATTTTTCTTCGATTTCGTCCGGGCATATCACTCTCTAAATTCGACTAAAAGTAATTAAATCAAATTTTCTCCTGGAATGATTCAACAGCAGACTTGAGAAAAGGTATAATTCAATAAAAAATCCAGGACCGGACTTGATTTTGGATATTAACAATTATAATTTCCGAAAAAGATTTGTCTGGATCTTGATATTAATCAAGATTCTCGAAATGTCCTCCTTGAATTTCTATACATTTTCTGCATCTTTTCGGGAGATCTCTTATGGCTTTTCCAATGATTTGCCTATTATTTCTGATAATATCTGCAGCTGTAACTATCCTCTCCCTCAGTTCGTCTCTGGTGTTGATTTCAGTCTGATAGACCAATTGTTTCATATGCCCCCAAAGAAAATAGTCCAAAACTGTGAGATCAGGGAACCTAGGAGGCCAAGAATGAGGGCCGCCACGACCTATCCAGCGGTTAGGAAAATGGGTGTCCAGAGGTATTCTCTCACTTGTATTGAGAAATGTGGAGGTGCCCCATCCTATTGAAAGTAAAGACCTCTTTTATTCACATTTTGCGCCGCCAACAAGTTGGGCAGAACGTTCCAAAATCAAGTCCGGTCCTGAATTTTTTATTGAATTATACCTTTTCTCAAGTGTGCTGTTGAATCTTTCCAGGGAAAAATTTGATTTAATTACTTTTAGTCGAATGTAGAGAGTGGATATGCCCGGACGAAAATTCATCGGTATTTTGTTTGATATTTTTTTACCAAAACGATCGAAGTGTGCCGTACGAATTGAAAAGCCATACTTGTAGTATTTTTCCTGATCTTTCTGATTCTGATAAAAGTTTTCAAAAAATCCGATCCAGAAGGTCAAAATTTTGACATCTAAAGAGAAACTGAGTTTTCCAAGTCCGGATCTGGAATTTTGTATTCATAGTACGTCATCTTGTGGAGTGTCATTAGAGGAAAGTTGATAGTGAATTTCAGCCGATAACGTCGAGACGTTCCTGAAATATCGTTCATTGGAGTTTTGCCCCGAATTCAAATAATGCCCTGTATTTCTGTAAAGAATAGGCAAAAAATATTTTATTATATATATATATCAACTCACCTTGACCTCCTCGGGACATGTTTCGAACTTATAAATGTCCATCTTCAGCCGTATTTTAGAAATTACTACAAGTAAAGGCATGTGAAAATATACAAAATGTTATTACCAAAGATTGACTTACAGGGAGGTGAACATTATTTGTTTTAACAAAGTTGCCGATGTCTCTCATCATAATAACATGTATAATAATAATAAATAAATGATTTGGAGGAATGAACGGGTTTTCATTTAAAATGAAAGGCCCCGTGACCTAAGAACGCGCACTTATAAAATAAAATCTTTTGGAGTAATACAGGAAAAGGATCCCGTACCCTTGAGAGAGCGCACTTAATTAGCTTAAATCAATTTATAATTGAAGGGGCCAAAAACCAAAAACGTGTTAAATCCAACATAAGGTTAGAAACACGGAATTAATTGAAAGAACCTTGACATTCATTACAAAAATTATCTGCTCGAAATGTCTCACGTGAATCTCTATAGACGAGTTATCTGAAACATCGCCATGTTTACATATGTGAAACATTTCTGTGTTGTTATGCGTGATATTCTAAAACATCTTCATGTCAATTCCTTTGAAAAGCTCAACATGCTCAAAAAATCATGAAGATCGCGTAATCTGATGTCACTGATTGATTTTTATGATCCAGTGAGAGCATTGATCTCTTGTTCAATTCAAACAAACAGAAAACTTGATTTACTGCTCAACACGAAAGAACACAACCAGATTATACGCCAGTCAAAATCGACAATAAATGAACAAAACATGATGTATCTCTGATTTTTTAGTATATTGTTTAGACTCATCAGGGAGGTATATACCAAAGTTTGCAACTCTCAAAAAGTTGTGGAAAAAGTGTAGCACACGAAAAACTGCGAAATTTTCGGACTTTCTTCAGTTTTTGCTCTATATCTCCTAAACTATGCATTTTTCGACAAAACAAGTAGAATACGTTTTTGAAGAGCATGAAATGTTCAACAATTTGAATCTAAGCAGAGCTCTGTGGGTTGATTATTAACGAAACTACGTTACTTTGAATATAGGCAATTTTTTTCTGAAAGTGAAAATGTCAGTTCTGGACCTACTTTAGACCAAAATTGCGGCTAAACCATTGATACTACGGGTAGAACTGATGAATTGAAAGTTGTAGGCCGTTTAGCTTCAAATTGAGCTCACAGCGGAGGCTTTAGGCCTCGCTTTAGGCCTCGTAGTTCTCTCAAAATCTCGAAAAAATGTATATCAGATAAATTCGCATATCTCCAGAAATGTTACAGAACCTTCCCTATCTTTTGTTTTTTGGTGTGGTAATGGAAAAAAAAATGATGAAATGTATTTTGATATGAGCATAAGTGATCAGAATAACAGTGATCAATTATTCAATCAAATATAGTCAAAATCGTCGCCTTGTTTTTGATGGCCCTGGGCCGTCACTTTCGATAGACTCTTCGGCGGGTAGGTCCCCCACTATAGGTGGATCGTCGGCGTCATGGTTGTCTTGGGGCTCGTTAGTGTTCTCTTGACTCTCGCCATCGTCATCCTCTTCGATGATGATAAGGGCAGCGGTCTGGCACGTTTCCTCAGAGCAGGTAGCACACATCACAGAACATTTGAGCCCCGCTTTTAGGCAAGTGCGCAGCCACCTCTGCATCCCTCCTTGCATTTGCAAGAAAGGAGTTTCAGGAGCTCTGGTGGGGAAGGGGCTTTCCGACTGGTAATGGAGATGAGTCCAGCCGAACTCAATTCCCAACCCCAGTCGTCGGCATCTTTCTCCACACCTAGCCACTTTTGCACCTGGTGGTATGTGCGATAGTGATGATACGACGCAGCTTCTGTGGTTGGTGGCAAACGCGCCGAATTCGTTTCGCCGTTGGCCGCTGTCTTCACGAAAGTACGGAAACGTACATCGTTGAAGGTGTCAGTCATCTCGTCTCCTCCATATAGGGCAACTAGGCGCTTGTCGCCGGCTGTTGCGACTTCTCGGTGTGTGGCATCTGGCTGGAGGAAAACTTTTGCTTGGTCTACTAAGGCTTGATCCTTTTTAAGTGGCCCCACTATTTCATCTTTCCCTGCCAGAAGAGGGCAGAGGTGGTGTCGCACCCAGTGAATGCATGGACGAACAGCTCAAATCCAGGTGGTACCTCCACTTCCCCTTGGTTAAACGAGCTGTTGGAAAACTGGATGCAACCCGTCTCACCTCTGCTACTCTTCTGGGAGTAGACGTTCGATTTAGTGGGTCCTAGACCGCAGAGGAGCACGAGTAGATCAACATCCTCTCCAACGATGATGACGTGGTCATTGGATGTACTTTTTTGCAGAGCAGTCACAACGATATCGTGGTCTGCGCCTTCTTCTGATATTTTTGTCTCAATCCTCTCGAGAGCAAAAGCAGAACAGAGATGGTCAATGAGACGAACTTTGTTTTTGTCATTCAAGAGCATCTTCTCTTGGGGGACTGTGATGATGGTTGATGCGTCAAATACAATTTTTACTGATGCTGCAGAATACCGTCGTGATCGCTCTGCAAAAATAGCTTGCGATGCCACACGACTTTATGGAGGAGGTATCCTCCATCGACGACAACAAATTTGTTTCCTACAATTTTCATTTCATGAGTTTCATCTGTAGCATCAATAGTTTAGCCGCAATTTCGGTCTAAAGCAGGAACAAAACTGGAATTTTCACTTCACCCTAGTTCCGTTGATAATCAACCTACAGAGCTCTGTTTGAACTCAAATTGTTGAAAATTTGATGCTCTTCAGAAAAATACATTACATTGTTTGTCGAAAAATGCATAGTTTAGGAGATACAGAGCAAAAACTGAAGAAAGTCCGAAAATTCCGCAGTTTTTCGTGTGCTACACTTTTTCCACAACTTTTTGGGAGTTGCAAACTTGGGTTTACACTACCTCAATGGGTCCAAATAACATACTAAAAAATCAGAGATACATCATGTTTTGCGAATTTAGCGATTTTTTGTGTCGATTTTGACTGGCCTACTATACAAATCATTTCTGAATAGCCCTCGGATAGCCTGTCTGAGTAATTTCCAAATTTATTCTGATTTGGTTTTGATTGAAGGTTTTGATCGTTGATGTTGATCGCGAGATATAGGAATAAGCGATTAAAATGATAAAACAGTTGGCTTTCTTCGAGGATGATGTCCAAATTCGCGTTTATCACCTCGGCAATGTCAACAATTCTACTGTTTTAGGCCAAATTCGAATCCAACTTCGAGGCCAAATTTATACATGTTGCATTTCTCGCCATTTTCTTTGTTTGCATTTGTCATCCACCTTGATCAATTTGATTTGATTTTTCTGCTCCCTAAAAAATCGCGGAGCAAATAAATCCTGCTGCTCGGTTGATACCAGAATCATATGGACTATATGTTGGTATGAAAAACTGCAATGTCAATTGGGGTTCACTAATTACAAAACAAATATCCGACTATGGAATATGATAGAAGTTAGTATTTCTATAATATTTCAAACTTGAATGTTTGTTATTATGTCGTTATAGTGGGTTTATCGAAGTCCTATATGATTCTAGTATGTTATAAGGAGTTGATTTTCAAAATGTCTTCAATAACGCTTCAGATAATGCGCGAATGAGATGACTTTGAGACGTATTCCTGCATGGCCTCGGACAGTTGAAACATCTCAATATAACATTACACACCCTCGTACAATTTTCTGGAGGTTCAGAACGAACCCTACCACAACTTTTGTAGGTATTTGAAGTTTATTCTATCTTCAATGATCAACCCTGTAGAAGCCGTTTAATATATACGCGAAGACCCTGTACATATATAGTAGTTTGTATCTTCAGAGCATTGTGACCTCGATAGTCGATTGTGGCTAATCGTATATGAACTTTAAAAGCAGCATCATTAAACAAATAAAGAAAAGCGTCGAGAAAAGCAAATCTCAGAGCTATTTGTGGAGCTGTAATGAAGGAAGTTCGCGAAAGGAACAATTATTCTTTTTGGCATGGAGTCAGTGATTTTTGAACGTCTAACTTGGGCCAAAGAAACAATGAACCGTTACAAATAAACAGCTCCTCCGTCAAACTGAGGCCAAATTCTGAAAATGGATATTTACGTAGAAATGTATTTTCCTTCAATGATGAAGGCTCGAATGAAGGACTTCTAAAAATAAGTAGCAGGTAATTCATTTTTCATGAATATACGTATGGTCCAATCAAAAGGTATTTTCACTTGGAAAAAATTCAAGTTGTCGTTTTCTCTATGGTTTCATATGTTTTTGGAGGTGCTGAATTCTTATCTGAATTTTGCAAACAAAATTTCCTGGAACGTTCCGAGATATTCGCAAAAAACAGCGAAATTGTCGGACTTTTTTCGGTTTTTTGCTCGTAACTCGTAAACTATACGTTATATGGAAAAGACCGCCCCATTGAAAATTGAATTAAATTTCCTAAATATAATTGTTATTGCTCATGAATGTAGGACTAACGAGGACTAACGAGTGCGGAGATAGAGCCAGTTGAAAATTGACCAAATTTGCGTTCTTTTCAAAAATAGCGTGTTTCGTTGGTTTTTGCAGATAATTCCAAATCTACGCAATCCTGGAAGAAACGAACTATACTGCCTGATGTGGAGGAGCCTAGCCATGTGAATTCTTACCTCTGTCAGCATGTAACTCATGACTCTCGACTTGTCACTGTGCTTAAGTATATTCACATCAACTAGGAAGAATATTGTTTTTATGCAACCGACACAAAAGTAGTCCATTTTGATACCAAATTTAGCTCTTAAATTAACGTTTCTATCACTGACACAAAAATAGGTATGTTGCTAGGTAACATATTCAGTTCCTAGGAGCTAAAGCTGAACTTCAGTTCCTAGGAGCTAAAGTTGAACTTTAGCTCCTAGGAACTAAAAAGGAAGTACTGGACGTCATCAAGAATGAACAACATTGTTACGGTTGGTTATTTGGATTGAGACGCATACCTGATTTGATTCCGATTTTGGCAGATTTGGCATTTCATACCCATGCTGGAGATATAAATACATCTTATTATAGTTAAGTATTGGAATTATAAACATCTTAGTTGAGTATTTTTGTTTTGATCAGGGAAGCCTTCAAGATTCAAATACTTGCTGGATCTGTATTTCATTCGTTATTCTCGGGATGGATGACTTGTTTTTGAATAATCACGGCAAGCAATAGTTTTTTGTCTCAAACAACGATATTGTTCACCTTCATTTGATTATTAAGCGAAAAACATTGTATTGTGGAGAGGAGTGAATAATCGCTTTTATTATTTTTGATATGCTCACTAACCTAACATTTCTTGTTCCTATAGCTGGCACTGGCGCGGTCGGGCGCGGTATTTGCCATTAGAGCATCTGTTACATACACAACAATGTCACTCTGTGATTGTATTTATATTGAAACTACAATTCGAACATCCTTGGAAATTGAATGAACCTGCATTTGATGCAGGTAGAATGTTCTCACTACACGGATTATTTGTCAATATTTGTTGCATTGCATACATATAGCACGGCATTGGTGGTAACTTCACATATTTATTTGAGTTAATTGTTTCGGTTGCAGAAAAAATAGCATGTTTCATTCGGATCAAAAGTGACTTTGTTCGACTCGCAAATTCTCGGCAAATTGTGCTTCCGCTCGGCTTCGCTAAACGCTCCGCCTCGCAAATGCAAAATTCGCTTGTCAAACAAAGTGTCACTTTTGATCCTAATGAAACAATCTACTATTTTATTACCTGCCTCTTGTTATTCGTTAACGGAGTAGAAAAATCAAGTTTTCTAGCAACGAATATCAGAAATGTCAGACATTCGAAGAAAATATAGTTAGAAGAGTTTCCTTCACTGTATTTTAGATTATAGGATCACCCTCATCTGATTAATTGCTTTCTATATCGCTAGACTTCTAAAGAAGCCTAAAATTTTCTTGACGGTTGAATTTTCCGTCTCAACAGGCGTTATCTAGACCTGTTCTAGGGTAGTCAGCCTTTGGGGGACTGGTACATTACATGAACAAAGGTGCTCCGCGGTTTAGTGTCAGCCCAGCCTCCTCTAGATCCATTTTTTTTAGTAATAGCTCATAGAGTAGAGCTTTAACACTTGTTTGCTGAGACTCACTAGCTCACGAATTGTTGAAAATTCAAGTAGTCGGTTTTTCTGTGGTTTTACACGTTATTGGAGGTGCTGATTTCGAAGCAAATTTCCTGAAGCGTTCCGAGATATTAGCGAAAAACATCGAAAATTTCGCAGTTTTTTCAGTTTCAATTGTATTTATAGTATACCTTGTGTTTGTGGAAAGTATTATACAGGTGAAACGAGAAGACCTCTCTCAGTAAGGCCGGCGTACTCAGTGCTTCGATGCTTCAATATCGATTCACGTCGAAGTATCGATCGTGGGTTCGAGTCCCACGAACGCAGACTTTTTCTGATGGCCTAAGAAAGTGTTTGGGATCAGACGTTGAAAGGTAAGGCCCCCGTCATTCCTTGCTCGCACAAGACTTTCGAAGACTTCTGAGGGTTGCTCGTAAGGTGGCAACCGAATGACGGATAGAACAATTTTAGAAAAATTTTTTTAGTAAGGACTAAAGAACAAAGTACCTTGTGTTTGTGGAAAGTATTATACAGGTGAAACGAAAAGACCTCTCTCAGTAAGGACTAAAGAACACAAGTGCAATATCAAGAAAAGACATAGGTATCGATAAATCGAAGCTAACTGAACATATCCTTACTGAAGATGGACAACATATGGCAGAGTGGAATAATATATAGAAATCATAGGAAAGGGAGATAACAACCGAAAAAGAAAAATCAAGGAATCCGCTTGCATTCTTCTGAACGGAGACAATAGCATTGCTTCCTGTTTAGTTGATATATATAGAACATTGTATTCACTACTGAAAACTGAACATGAAAATGGTAGATTCAAGATCAATTAATGAAAACATCCTGTAACTCATTTGTAGACTAAAATCACTCATTCATAT